GTGTGTGTATGTAACATATTGTCTTTTGGGGGTCATTTTTGTTTTATAAAAAGTGGACCATACTACTTACATTTATCGGTATCTTCAATTTTGCACTTAAAACCTTTTGGAAATTCTTTGTCAACCATGGTCCTTAACATTCAACTGTATACTATTCCATCACCCCTGTTGTTAAACATTCACTTTATGGCCATTTATTTTGGCCACTATAAAAATGCTGCAATAGGTCCTTGGACATGAATGCATGACATCACTTTTATTTCCTTTTTGTTTGTTTGTGTTTTTTTATTTCAAAATATTAAGGGGGTGCAAATTGTTTTTGTTACATGGATACCTCGTATAATGCTTAAGTTGTGGATTTTAGTGTATTGGTCACCACTTTTATTTCTATGGGTTAGATTCCTAGGAGAGGGATTTCTGGGTTGAGACATTTATATATTTCTAATTTCATTAGATTGCTTTGCAGAGAGCTGTGGCAAGTTATATTTACACCAACAATATATGAAGGTCCTCTTCCCCCAATATCCCTACCAGGAGGAGGGAAGACTTTGCTAGTCTCAGGTAAGAAAAGGAGAATGGATCTGGTGATTTGTTGGGTCCCTTCTGGCAGTAGGTCTGCTGATGAGCTGGTGCCTTCCAGACCTCCCAGGAGGGCCCGGGCTGTGCAAAGACTTGGCTGGCATTTTGTTCAGTATTTTCTCCCTGCAGTTGAACACTCCACTCTCCATAACACAGTAACCATTACCCTGATCATGGTACTTAAGAAATTCCATAACATTCAAACACCTGCAAATTTCACATAAAGTTCCAATTCCTCTTGAAAAATTGGAAACACATTTAACACAGGGCCCACGTTCCTGCATGACGACAGTTTGTTAGAGCTGAGTAGGGGCTGCCTGATTTAGACAGGCTGTGTGCTTTGCAGTTTGCCATATTCCTCACCACTCCTTATTGCCTCTCCAACTATGAGCTCATTGATAACTGCTATCTAACACGGCACTTGCCCCTTTTATTTTTACACTGAGTCCATTTCATTATTTCATACCTGTTCAATCCCTCTAGGCATTGAGTTTGAGACTCTTTTTTTTTTAAAAAAAAAAACAAGATGAGATATGCTTTAAGTGGGAGTGGAGAGACTCACTAAAGAGGGAAGATGGGTGAGGAAACAGCTTTTTAGTCAATCGCCCACCTTTTAGCACGCTGTCCACTTCCCTTTGAGGCATTCTTTGCTTTTATCCCACTTCTGCCACCACATATAAGGGAATTATCCACGTAAATAAATAAAACGCAAACTCATCTAAGGGGATATGAGCTGACTAGAGTGTTTGGGGAAAGAAACCTGAGTGCGGTTGTTCTTGAACTGAAGCGTGCATCATATCACTTAGGGGAGATCACGTACAATGCAGATTTATAGGCCTTGCCCTTGGGGATCCTTATTCAGTGGAAATGGGTTGGGGCTAGGGCTCTGCATTTTAAATAAGTTTCCCAAGTGGTTCCACTGCAGGGGCTCTTGAAAACCGCACTTTGAGATGGTGGCATCTACCTAAGCAGGGTCACCATGATTGAATGAATGCCCATGGCCTGGCAACTGTAAACCCACAACTGGATAAACTATACCCACAACTCTAAACCCAGTTCTAACTAGTTCCTAGCTGCATGAATAGTCTTTCCAGAGAAGGATGGTTTGTGGGCTTGGGCCCCTGGAATTTCTAGGATACTTACAGATCTGGGATTGGAGACGTACAAGGAGGCATCACACACAATGCCATATCCCACCAACCGTTCTCCAGGGAAGAGGGAGCTGGTGCTGACAGGCGAGATCAGGACCTCGGTGGTCTCGGGGAAGATCCACTCCACGGTCACATCACTCAGCACTGGGGCCATGGCCTTCTTCAAGGACTTGACCATCTGTTGGGCAGGGTCAGAACACAGTTGGGGGGCATGTGTGAACACATGAGCAGTGTGAAGACTATGCGAGTGTGAACTTGGGGTGGGGGTGTGAATAGGGAGGAAGGGACAACAGGCCTGGGGTGGCTTGCCCAGCAGCCTCTGAGCTTCTTAGACTCCTAGAATGTCAGGGTTGGAAAGGATCTTTGCTGTCATCTTTCCTAAGCTTATCATTTTATAAATGAGAAAATCTGAGACTCAAAGTAGGGCTATGACTAGTCCAAGGGTACACAAAAGATTTGTGTCAAAGCATGGACTGCAGAATGATCTTGAGAAAGTTAATTTGCCTTTCTGGGCCTCAGTTTCCCCTTCAGTTAAAATGGGAGGATATAGCTGGAGGATTATCTGAGATCCTGGATTTGAAGTATCTGCCATGCGGTAGGTGTTCAGCGAATGGCAGTTGTGGTTTAGCATCACCTAGGCTGATTTCTTCAGGCATCCTATACTGCAAACCTGGAAAAAGTGATTTGGGGATTGAGGCAGTCATAGAAGGAAGCTCTCAAAGCCCCCTTCAAGAAAGAACATGCCCTTTTTGCTGCAAGAAATGCAGTTAGGTGACAGCTTCCAGATGCAGTGCCCCGGCTTTTGAGCCAAGACCACACCTCTCCCTGGAAGCCCACAAGCCAATGACTCAGCATGTGGGCATACTGGTCCTGGCCATTCCAGCCAGCGCAGATTCTCTAGTGGACAATCTTTGCTCCAGAGCTCCCAGCCGGGTTGGCCGAGACCTTGCGGGGTGGGGCATCGCAGTCCCAGGCTTTCCCTGCCAAGTTTGTGCCCCCTTTCCTTTCCTAGGTGTTGGACTACCTCGGGCCTGAAGAGCCTTCTTTCCTGCTACCTCCTCTTCGGTCTTTCACAGACACAGTTCTCAATAGACCTCTTCACTCGTAACCCCAGCTCTGTCTGCTTCCTGGACTGACAAAGGGGTTTCCTAAGTTTTGGATTATTTGTGCCAAATGCGCAGGAAATGGAAGGACGACTACAGCCTCCTTTATTTCTGGACACTGTAGATTCTTCTGAGCCACCATTTGTCATCATCAGGAATGTGGCCAGGAATGACCCCAAACACAACTCCACATCCATATAGGCGATGGCTCCTGAAGGGGCCTCAATCCTGCCTGGCCAGTGGATGGAGCGTGTGACCCAGTGGCTGGGACCAGGGGATCTAGCGTCCTGCCATGGCTCCAAGAGTTGCCTGCTCTGTGGTCTCCACTTCTCTGGTTCTCACTGGGGTGCAGTGTGGCCCAGAGGAGAGCTCAGATATGGGGTGAAATCCCAGCTCCACTACTGAGGTGCCATGGGACAGATCTGGGCCTCTGAGGATCCAGCACTGGAAGAGACTGGGGCCCTGCGCCTACCTTGGGTTGCAGCCGCTCCCCCTCCACCAGGAACTCAGCACTGCCCTTGGACACAGATGCCAGCCCCTTCACCAGTCTGTGGCAGACGTTGGGTCCAATTCCAAAGCTATAGCACCTGGGGGAAGGGGAGGAGAGAGGCTGCTACTTCCCACCCTCTCTGCGTCTTTGTCCCCATGGGGTAAGGGACAGAGTAATCCAGCAGAGCTACCTCGGAGCTGGCCCTGTCTTTAGGCAGAGGGTAAGCGAGAAGGAGGAAGGCCACCTGTGGCCACTCACATACACACACAGACCACACAGTTCTCCCTGGAGTCCAATCACCCTCTTCCCAGGCTGCTCTTTGGGAGCTGTGCACAGAGGTGTGGGCTGCTCAGCCCTCTGAACTTCCGAGGGGAAAAGGCAGACTCAGCTCACGCCCTCCTAGAAGCAAAGTGCTATGGGAATTGTGGGTCCTGTCCTTTCCCTTTGGCATTTTGCACACGTTGCTCTGGCTCTGGTGGCCCCAGCCCCAGCAGACCCCTGCCTGGGCCAACCTGGTGGAGAAGGCGTGGTTTCGCACCAGCTCCAGCACCTTCCCCGTGTTGTTGACGGCGCCATCCGTGATCAGGAAGACCAGCCGCGGGTGGCCTTGGTGCACGGGCTGCCGGATGATCCACTTGAGAGGGGAGAGGATGTTGGTGCCACCCATGTCAGCCCGCATCCTCTGGATGTTATCACAGGCCATGGCCAAGCTCTCCTGCAGGGAAGGACAACGGGCAGGGCAGACAGTGCCCAGGGTCACCACATGGCACGGAGACTCTCAGCCAACAGACAATGAGCCCTTAGTTTCCCTAGATCTTTGTTCAGCCTCTGGAGTTGACTCGTGCTCCCAATGTCATCCCTGCCCCACACACAGCAAGAACAGGTGGCCACTTATTTGATGAAATCTTGCCCAACAACATCCCCTACCAATGCCTGAATCGCCGCCATTGGTGGTATACTGACTTAATATTGGCCTCTCTGGGTTCCTCTTTAAAAACATAAACACTCCTGGAAAAGGCAACACGTTAAGTCCCTCCTTTCTCAGCACAAATGAGGTTTCCTTTTCTGATGAGGGAGGCAGGGAGTGGGGTGGAGAGGACGCAGGACTAGCAATTTGAAGACCTGAGTCCTGCACCTGACGCTGGCACCAGCTCCCTGTGATACTCTGGGGACATCATTTCCCTAATCTGGGCTTCGGATTTCCTCCCTCCTGGACCAGCTCTGTGGAGCCCAGCTGGGCCAAGGACTGTTGGCACTGGATGGATGTCATTGCAGCAAGAGTAGATTCCCACTGGACACAGTGACCCGCTGCTGCTGGCTCGGAAACATGCTCTTTCAACATTCACGCTTGGAGGGGACTTAAAAGTCACCGTGTAGATCAAAAGTCTTTAGATGCATATGTAGCTTTTGAGCCAGCAAGGCTGGGAACTAATCCCAAGGGAATAATTAAGGATGCTATAAAGATGACTAAATAGAAAAAAAATGGAAACAATTCAAATGCTTGAGTGTTCTGTTAAATAAGTCCCAATCTAACTGTGTAGTGAAATACTAAGCAACCATTAAAATTATGTTACAGATTAGTACTTACTGGCATGGAAATATGTTCATGATAGACTGTTACGTTAGAAAAGTAGGTTACAGCGCAGTGTGGAAAGCCTAATCCTATTTTTATTGAAGATGTGTGTAAATGCATAGAACAAGTTCTGGAGGGATTTATACCAAGCTCTTAACAGTGTGTCTTTCCCTCTTTTTTTCCCTGACTGATGTAATCATGTGAGATTTATCTAGGTTTAAAAATTGTGGGACAATCAATATGTATTATTCTTAACAAAAAATTTTTTAGGCCAGGTGCAGTGGCTCATGTCTGTAATCCCAGTACTTTGGGAGGTAGAGGTGGGAGGATCACTTGAGGCATGGAGTTTGAGACCAGCCTGGGTGACATAGTGAGACCCCATCTCTAAAAAATAAAAATTAGCTGTGTGTGGGGGCATACACCTGTAGTCCCAGCTACTCAGGAGGCTGAGGCAGGAAGATCACTTGAGCCCAGGACTTCGAGGCTGCAGTGAGCTGTGGTTGTACCACTGCACCCCAGCCTGGGCAACAGAGCAAGATTCTGTCTCAAAAAATGTATTTTTTTCTTAAGAGATGAGACTTTACTATGTTGCCCAGGCTGGACTCGGAACTCCTGGGCTCAAGTGATCCTCCTACTCAGCCTCCCAAGTAGCTGGGACTACAAGTGCACACAGCATGTATTATTCAAGTATTTGAAAAACTCATAAAATTATTTTTAGTTGAAAAGTGTCCCATATGTCTGTCTTCCCTCGCTCTCTCCCTTCCTCCCTCTTCTTAGATTTGGGAAGGATGCTCCAATTTTGAACATGCTGCTAGGGCCACAGCCCTGTTGCTTCACACTGTAGCTTGAGTCTCGTGAGTCCCATTCCTACCCACTTCCGTACCTGCTCAGATACCTGTTCACTCCCACCCTTACCATTCACTGTCTCAGCTCAGCCCCTTGTCCTGGTGAGACAGGCTTCAGTGAGTGGCAGGCCTAGGCCATGCCCTCTCTCTACCCTCTCCCTGTACCCCATCTCTGTGCCCACACACACTTTGCCCAAAATATTGTTTTATTTTGAAGAGGGGGGATGCCAGGAAGCTGAGATGTCAGCACACTGCAGAAACATAGATAGCCTCTCTTTAGTTCTCTGCCCCCAGCTGTATTCTGGGCTCTCTGCGGGTGGGCAGCTTCTGAGGCCAGCCCCAGGGTTGCCTCTTCTTGCCTTTTCCCTCCTTTCCTCTGCCCCTCACCTACTGCCACCCTCCTGGTCCCAGCCTTGCCGCCTTACCTCACTGTAGGTCTGGCTGGAAGGAAAGAGGGTCTTAAATGTGGATCCAAACCCAATGACATTGAAGAGGCAGGCTGGCATGAGGCTCTTAAGAGCCACCAGCACGGCATCCTGGCAGGCGAGAAAGGGATTTTCAGGATTCAGGGAGGAGTTATTGCCACTCCGCCAGCCCGCACCAGTATCCCCTGCCCAGCACAGGGGCAGCCTCCAGACAGGGCTTTTGCCCTCTGTCTGCACCCGACAGCTCCTTTCCCTTCACATCGAGAAATGTGCTGAGGCCCAGCAGAGGCTGGACTGAAGCCATCCTCATGAATCTTCCCATCCAAGCAGCAGGTCTGGCTTCTCGAAGCCATTCTAGTATGGCTGGTCAGTTCCATGTCACTGCTCGCTGATCCTGAGAAGTGGAAGGTAGGGAGTACCCACTCCCTTCTGCCAAAGCAAAATTGATGTCTAAGGGAAGAAGGTGGCCTGGTCCAGGTCATGCTGTTGGTGGGCGGCTTGTGGCTTTCCCCCAGAGCCTTCTGCATCAGACTCAACCTAGATGCCATTAACTAGGGACAAGTCCTGAGGGACAGTCTCTTTGGCTCAAATTTGTTGAGTGCATAGGATGCATTTTACATGCATTACCTCACTAACCCTCACAACAGCCCTTTGAGGTGGGCACACTATTATCCCCATTTTATAGAAGAGAAGACTGAGGCACAGAGAAGGGAAGTGACTCGTTGGTGAGCATCCAGACAGTGAATAGTGGAGTCAGAACTCAAACACACATCATTTTGCCTCCAAAGTCTGTGAGCATTAAAGAGTCTTAACCTATGTAACTGTGCACCACCAGGAGACCTTGACAAAGGTATATTGAAAAAAATAATGACAATGAGGGAGATGGAGGTGATGGTAGAGCAAAAGTGATGATGGTGCTGATACAAGGCAATGATAAGTATTCAAGCAATTTCTATGTGCCAAGCATTGTTCTAGACACTTTATATTAGTTATCTCATTTAATCTCTATAACATGCATTATAGCATAGTGGTTAAGAAGACATGCTTTGCAACGAGATATCACTTATCTCCAGTGAGAATGGCCTTTATCAAAAAGTCCCAAAACAATAAATGTTGGCGTGGGTGCAGAGAGATAGGAACACTCATACACTGCTGGTGGGACTGAAAGCTAATGCAACCTCTGTGGAAAGCAATATGGAGATACCTTAAAGAGATACAAGTAGA